TCTTATTAAAAGAGTACTAACTTTCGGCCCTATCCATTGTGGTATTTGCATATTACCCATGAAGTCCCTTTACCAACAAGTTTCAATGTACAAGATTAGTCAGAATCTGTTTTCTACTTAAGGTATTAGATTTAAAATACCAAATAAGATATTGTCTAAAACAAGATATTTTAAAGAGGCATTTAATGCTGTGGTCATGTCTCCAAACATATATAATAACCAGAGAACTAAGCTGTCAGTCCTTTCACATATAGCTATTTCATTTTATCCTTATTGGACCCTTACAGGACAGGCACAAAATGTATTATTTATATTTTAAAAATTAAAATAGAGGACTTTAAATCTGCTCATGTTCACATGACTAATCAGTGATACAGCCAAGATGAAAACTCTGGTGTCTGTCTGTGGATCTTTGGCCATCTACCCGCTGTTACACTGCCCTACTTTTGATATCACACTTAGTTTTCAACAAATATGTCCAACTCCTCTAAAATATTTCCTCTTAGCTGTTTCACTATTGTGTAAAATTTCAGATGTTATCACTGAATTCACCCTGTCTGTCCATTAATCAACCTAAATATCTCCACTTGTGCTCTGATATCACCCCACTCTCAATCTACTTAGTCACCAAGTCCTGTCAATTCCTTAAGTTCCCTCCTTTTTCTATGACCTGATTAAAAATCTTCATTGTTTCTCACTAGGACTCTGGTAGACCAAATCTCCAAACTTTACCTTTTGATAATCAGGTTTATTTAAATGTAGAGCATACTCAAAGATATAATTATCTTAAATTATTCAAAAGAAATAAAAGGAATAAAATAAAAAGGGAGAAATCACATTAAATGTAAAATATTTCTTCATCAATAAAGGTCTAAAATGCTCAATGTCTTTATTTTCATTTATGAAATTTAATTTTCATCAGTTCTGGAAAGCAGATCTACACAAATTCTGAAAATTGTATTTCCCTTTGTAACTTCCATGTTTTCTATATCACATGACAAGTAGTAATACCATGTTTCACTTAAGCCCTTAAACAGGAACATGATGAAGTCTTCAGCTGAAAACACTGCTTTGTAAGGAGCAGAAATCAGTTGTCTAAGCCTCAATGATGAGAAAACATCTCTAAATACATTGAAATTAGCTTACACAGAAACATGAAAAGATGCTCAACATCATAAATCATCAGGGAAATGCAAATCAAAACCACCACGAGATATAAACTTCAGACAGAATGGTTAGCATCAAAAAAAATAAGAAATAACAAGTAGTGGAGAGGATGTAAAGAAAAGGAAACCCTTGTGCACTGTTGGTAGGAATGTAAATTGGTGTAACCAATGTGGAAAGCAGTATAGAAGTTTCTCAAAAAACTAAAAATAGAAATATCATATGACCCAGTAATTCCTCTTTGGGGACTTTACCCGAAGAAACAAAATCACTGATTCTAAAAGATACATGTGCACCTGCGCTTATTGCAGCGCTACTTAACAATAGCCAGAATATGAAAGTAACCTAAGTGTTCACTGACATATTAATGCATAAAGAAGATGTGGAATATATATATATATATAATAGAATATTACTAAGCCAGAGAAAGACAACTATCATATGATTTCACTTTTATGTGGAATCTAAAAAAATTAAAGAAAAAAACAAAAAAAAATAGAAAGTAGACTCATAAATATAGAGTACAGACTGGTGTTTGCCATAGAGGAGAGGAGTTGGGGGGAACAGGAAAAATAGGTGAAGGGAATAAAGAGCTACAAACTTCCAGTTATAAAATAAATTAATCGTGGGAATGAAAATAGTGCACAGGGAATACAGTCAATAATATTATAATATCTTTGTATATTGACAGATGGCCACTACATTGACCATGTTCAGCATTTAATAATGTATGTAATTGTAGAGACACTAGGCTATACACCTGAAACCAATATAACATCGTATATCAAGTATATTTCAATAAAAACTTAAAAAAATAAATTAGGCTAACAGTATAACAGAAAGAAGATTCCCTGCAAAACACAGATAAAGCAATGTAAGTGAACATTATTTCTGATTTCAATTTATGTGGATCAATAACTTTAGGAAATACAGTTCCACTTGGCAAAATAGCTTCCAGAAGACTGCTAGGAAATAAGCCATAGCCAAAAGTGGACAACTGAGAAAGAGTGGAGAGCAACGCTGGACACTAACACATATTTCTGAGTGACATCAGAAAACAAAACTCCTGAATTTTGGGGGCAGATCACTGAACAAATAAGAAATTTGAACAAGAAACTTATGTGTCTGGTGCAATTTCATCTATCTGAATTGCTCTATAAACCCTCAAATTGCTTTCTGGGCCTTCCCTAAATTAGCTGGTTTAAAGGATATGACAGGAAAGATGGGGAGCGACTCCCAGAAGGAAGCCCAAAGGTTATAGCAGTTCTCAAATTTAGCCTGCATAAGAATTACTTGGAGGGCTTATTAAAATACAGAAGTATGGGTCCCACCCCTGGTATTTCTGATTAAGTTCGTCTGGCATAGAGCAGACTTTTTCTTTTTACTTTTCTAATAAGTCCCTAGAGGATATGAATGCTGCTGGTTGGGGGACCACATTCCGAGAATCACTGGCCTATGAATTGGGTTGTTGGAATTTTCTCAAGCTAATGTGGCCTGATGAAGTTGTTCCTGTTTATTGTTTTACATATATATCTATCACATAATTCTAAATTTGTGTGGGGCTCATTGGCTATTGCTGGCTAAAATACTATCATTATATTATCAGTGGACCCTCTATATATAATTTATTGTCTGCTATTGGCTGCCATAGAATGATTAGTCTTTAGATCTGGAAAAATCCTCAGTAATAATATAACCTAATACCCTAATTCTCAGGATCAAGAAGCCAAAGTCTAGTGGCATATTTAATAGATCTACACAGCTGTGATTTCCAAATTGCAATTTACTGTCAATAGCCTTTGAAGAGTGGTCTATGAACTAAACACTTAAAATAATATATTATATTCATACAGTAATCATGGCTATTCTTTTGTTTGTCATATAATTACATTTTTCTTAAGATAATAAAGAAATTCATACTGACACTTATTTTAATTCAACCAGAACTTATTTTAAACAGTGACAAGTAGAAATAAGCAAGGCAGGAGTCTCTTCTTTGCCAACCAGTTTCCAGGCAAAATCTGTTATAGATTCTTAGTTATGTAACACAAACATGAATCCAATGAAACCCTAAGAACTATTTGCAATAGAGTCTACCACCTCAATAAAATAAATGTAGAGCTTGTAATTCATATCAATAGAATGAAATCTACTATTTGCCAGGCAGTACTAAACATGTTCATATTAAGGATCTCATTAAAATCTCATAATTACCCTGTAAGCTAAAGAAACTAAAGCTTTTAAAGTTTACGTAGCAGAGACTGGCAATATGTTTTCCCATGATAAAAAACACAAAAATATTTCTCTAATATATTTGCCAGCACTTATTTAATTTAGCTGCTTGACCAGTTGGTGCATTTATATCCTACTAAGGCCTGATGACTTCATTTTCAGGAAGCAAAAATATAATTATCTTCTTGGATAGCCAGGAAGTCTAAATATGTGCTTCCTAAGTATTCATGAGTGTAGTACGGACATATACCCTCCCTGTCCCCCTTGAAGAAAAACAATGCCATTGCCAAATTATATAACTCCCTGTCCTGAAAGTACATTTAGCAGATTAGAACAGTCTCAAAGGGTTTAAGCAACACCTTCTATGTTAAACAAAAATATTTTTCAGCAAAGGGACAATGGTCTTCTATAGAGGTATTCTATAAAATGGTCACTAGTGAAATTTGACTCTGGGTTCCATGGTTTCATTTTAAAAGGAAGGACAATTTATCATACAACCTTTCTTATTTTAACTAAATTCCTCACAGTAATTACCAAAATTCTTAACTGGGATTGACTCGGAACTTTTGTCCAAATCTGAAAAACAAGTCAACACTAAGAAACTCGATCAAATGGCAATACCAGAAAATGAGTCCAGGTCATAAATGATAATTCACACAGAAACTGTTACTTCACTGCCATTTACCACTCAGAGTATCAGTAGACACAATACCTTATACTTAAAAGCAACTTGAAGGCCTGTGAAGCCATAATGAAGACTGTCTCTCCTTAGTAACAGGAGATTTAGAAGAAAGACCGGAAATATCATGAAAGGCACATTTTAAGAAGTCTCAATAAATCTAATTCCTATGAAATAATCTCCCAAAAGAATTTTGGATGATTTAAATGCTTACTATTGTTAACAAAAATAATTATCTGTGATTTATTTTCATTGTTTTCATGATTAAACTTTGTGTCTATATGAATAAAATGGAGAACGGAGCCCTAATTTATATCACTGCGCTATAATAAATAAGGGTCACCTTGTGACAACTGATCAGATATAAATGAAATCTGAGGTTGCTAATTAGTAAAACACTTGAACTTGGAAATACACTTACTTTCCTTGAAGTCAGGTTCTTCCTGGTTTCATCATGTAAAACATTATGACCTCTTTAACATTACCCTATAGATGACTGATTTTAATTCCCTGCCTTGAATAAACATAAGATCACAATAAAAAAAAAACATGATTGAAGTAGTTTTCCGATTGCTTAGGGGAAGCTCTTCCCCAAAAAACCAACAGAACCTGACAAACACTACCGAAGAGTAATATGAGGGTTTACTGGGAGACCTGAACCGGACAGGGAGGGGAAGTGAAGTAGCTTACAAAATGGTTGTGTGATCCACCGGCAACTTAAAAATATACACCAAAACACAGAAAACTAATTTTCAAAATGAAAATACGCAACTACTCAAAATTATACGTAGTTAATGTCAACTGAGTAACAGGAAAATCGAATATGAGGACCAGAGCTAAGCCAGAAATTAGATTATACTCCATGGAGAACGAGACATATCTTGCCTATTAAACATAGAAACAAAGAAAACACTCTAAGACTTACCCTTTTCTTTTCGTCGGTTTCATTTTCAAAACACTGATTGTCTTTATTTTGTTCAATACATGAAGTGTTTTCCTTTGGCTCACTGCAACCTGTAAGCTAAGTAAACAAAATTTTTTAAAAAATCAGTACTTCTTACTTGTTTTCTGCAATGTAAATTAAATGCTTTTCAAATGTTTAACATGCATATTAAAACACCAAAGACCTGACTAAATATTATTAGGTATTGTTTATGTCAGTGTTAGAATATGAATGCACTGTCTAACCCATTTTTATATTGTTCCCAAAGAGAAAACATAAAATGGGGCCGTTATTCAAAGGCAAGTGTGTAAATTTCAAAGCTTTTCACCAGACAGTGTTGAACTTGGATTACTTAAACATAAATTGATGATCTGGTAAAGGCGGAACATGGTTGATGAAAGATGAAGATGGAAGGGTTTATTTCATCTTATTTAAGGTCCCATACTTCCAGGAATCTCTGTGGTATCTCTTGGAGCCCTCAGAACAAGCAGAGGCACTCACTGCCTTGGTTCTGGACTTGCATTTCAAGGATCTTTGTGTAACTACAGCTTTGGATAGAAATAATGTCTACTTCCATAACAAAGGTTTGCCTGCTGACCATTATAAAAGGTCCTTAAACTGAGGGTCATTCTCCATTGTGTGTGAATGTGTCAGTCACTTGGCCATGGTTGCATTGCCCTGTGGGAACTGGGGTTTAAAGAACTACCTCAAGAAAATTCTGTCCAGCTACTGTTATTGTTGTAAATAATAGTCTTTTGTCTTTGCCCTAGGAGTTTTCTGACAGCATCCAGGAAAACTGTGGCAGGGTTCTCAACTTGACTTAAAAATCTTAGACCCTTCATAGTTCTTGAGAATTGTGGTGACAAGGATAGAATGCTTACAGAGTCATGGTTTTGTGAAAGAGAAGGGATCAGAGACTCATAGGCTGATAAAAGAGAGTTATGGAATGTCTTTGGGAAATGGTAGCAAAGACGTTGGCCAAATTGTACCTTCAACTGCTTAATAGTTGTCCTCGATTTTAATGCCTGTTAATGAAGAGGAATTTACAAAGTGGTTGCAAGCTGAGCACTGGAAAATAAACTCAAAGACAGCTCTCAAATGGTACTCTGGTTGCTGCAAACTCTCCTCTGACTGAGGGAACTTCCTCACCAACCTGCCAATCAGGCTCAGGTCCTAAGATTCATTCTGGAGCAGCAGAAGTTCCCACCCACCTTCAGATAATAGTTACAGAGAAATGCACCTGGGCTAATTATGAAAGGAAAAAATTTGCAATTATAATGAACAGAAACCAAGATTTCTCTGACTCCAGTCTGTTGTAAATGTTCCTTTTCTCTAATCCCATAGTTTACACCTATTATTGTGATTAACATATTGTATTATAGATCACATATTTATATATCTGTCTGTCCCATTAGAGCTCTTTAGAGGATAGGCAGTGAATCTTAGCTGCTTTTTGATTTCCAGGGATCAATAAGTATTTGTTTAATGAATGCAAAAAAAATCCCAAAAGATTAAATTAGGTGAGTAGATGGATGCTTAGGTGGAGGAACAGAGAACAGGGCTCTAATCTGGCAAAGGTATGTCAAGCTCACCTTCTGAGGATACCCAAGTAGCTTCTGCATCAGAAACAGGGAGTTCTTTACCTGCGCTCGGTCTGGGATAGTGGAAGTGCTGCCATGTCCAGTATGACATGGAGACAGGCAGCAATGGGGGCGGTGCAGGCTCAGTCAGCAGCCTGATCCCTACTGGTCTCATGAGGCCCTTGCTGTGTTCATCTACTTGGGTGATGCAGATTGATACAGTTCCTGCTCTCAAAGAGGCATGTGTTTAATATGCTAGTCTGCAGATTAGCAGTATTGATGGCATTGCTGCTGATATAGGACTTTGGATAGACCAAAAACATTAAAAGTTCATTTTGCTGAGCTGCAAGCCACCTCCACACTACTCAAAATCAAAGTAAATGTGCCTTGCTTACTGCTGCAGAGCTACCCTTCGCCTCTGTGACTCATGATCCCTGCCTCCCTTTGTATCAACTGACCTCAGATGCTTTAAGGAAAAAGATGATTAAGAGTGAAACTAAAGTTTCCCTGCTCCCAAGAAGGGATAAAGGTGATACACATCCATCCAAATATGCTGGGGACCTTTGGGAGGGCAAAGGCTCAAACATACAGCTCTGTTGCATATAGTCACCCAACAATCTACGGGATCCCATGGGTTGGTGGGAGTGAGGCACCAGGATTCAGCAAACTGACTTTGGGCAGGGTTTACTGTGGAGAAAGAAAGCTAAATGACCTTGTATATGAGTCCCTTTGGGCCAATTCAATGTATCATTTGTGTGGCTTTCACTGCTGAATGTATAATTGGTATTAACATTTCACTGTAAATCCTCACAAAGTCCAGAGGGGATTCTACTGATCAGGAAATGCTAATAGAACATGTAAATCACTCCCCAGTTCTTTTCTCTGTTTTCTCTTGGGTAGTCCAGCAGAATCTCAGGAGGAAAAGGGAAATCACAGCCTGAAGGAAGCAGGGATAGTATAAAATGATCTTGGTACAAAGGTCAAGTATGACGAGCATAAAAGGCTAATGGGAGCTGGGCAATTACAGTGGATTATTGATAAATGAATTCAGATGTTGATCCTATAGCCTCACTATTCCAAACACTGTACTGACTGATGGCATTTGGTAGGTTATCTTTCCAACATTTTTTTTTCTATCCCACTGGCATTTCAAGGTCTAAGAACAGTTTTTATTCATACTGCAAGGCCTCTAATATGTTTTCAGCACTTCCTCAATGCCTAAACTCCTCTGCCCATTTGCCATGAAGATTTAGCATGAGTGGCTTTACTTTGTGATGTTCAAAGTTGTTACTAAGATGATGTCTTATTAGTTGGCAACTCAGATGCCTCAGCTGCAGGAGTGGATAATAAGCTCTGACAAAATGGATAGAGACTATCTGAGCAAATTCCTTCTAACAGTCAAGAAAAAAACTTCTATCCTTTTAGCCTCAGTCATCAAAAGGACTCCCAGCCCCTTACTGAACTTGCAATAGTGGAGAGAGAACGGTTTTACTTGGACATTTTACTCAGCCTTCATTATCAGCTAACACACAAATCAGCATCCTTAAATTGAGGCCCAAACAAACTGGCTATGATGGAAGCTCTCACAAGCTGCAGCAGTCCCTACAGCATTAATAGCTCCTCAGAGCTCCAAGTCTGAGAGAGAGAGCCTGTGGTAAAGAGAAGCAGCTTCTCCTCAAAAGCCTGGAGGCAAAACCACTGGCTCAATGGGGTCCTTGACTAAAGGAGGTTCTACTAAAGCCTTGGTCCGGCTTCCCTAATGGTTTAGCTAAACTGAAACCAGTGGTGTCTACTGGGATGCTGACACTGTTCTCAGTTACAGAGATGCAGAACCGAAAATGGATGTGGTTCCTCCACTTGCGGGGGCCTTACTCAAGGTTGTTTCTTACAGCTCTGGCCAATACGCTTCCTGATAAACCCTGTAATATTTTTACTGACTCTTGATATATTGTCAATGGCCTAAATGTTTGGTCTGCCCCTTGAAACACTAGAGACTGGCAAATTAAGCACATGCCTCCCTGGAGGCACTGACTGTACAAATTAAGGCTGTCACTTACAGACACCCACAGAAGGACGCAATGAAGCCAGCTGGAATCAAGCTGCTGACTGGGCCTGCGCTGCCACCATGCTGCCTGGATCCACCCTCAGGCCAAACACGGCATTACATCCATCATCCCAGATTGAACACCAAGTACAGGACTGTGTTTCTAGAATCCTCAGACAGGTTAGCTTGACATTCTTCTGAGCCAAATAAGAGCCCTTTCTTTCTCTCTTTTTTTAGTCCTTCCATCTAGGCATCCATATATTCATCTCATTTAATCTCTTCTTTCACCTATTAAGCAATTATTAATCTCTGGAAATTCAAAAATTACAAATATACTGCCTATCTTCCAAGGAGCTCTAATGGGACAGAAAGATACAGAAATATGTAATTCCTAATACAATGTGTTAATCACAATAACAGATGAAAAGTATTTGAGCATCATCTGTATCAGACTGTGGAATCAAAGGAGGATTTCTGAGGATATGACATTGAAATAATTGTAAGGACAGGAGGAGCTATCCAGACAAGCATATTTAGTCTGATAGCAAATAGTGTGGGACTGAAAGACACCATGCTCAGAAAGAAAGAATACAGATTTTAGAGTAATGAAGAAATGACTTATAATTCTTTTCCCTCCACTTACTAATTATGTGTCATCCAAAATATGGAGATGATGTCACCCATTGCATAGTCTCCTCCCTCTTTTCCAGCCATCCCACAGCTGGGATGGGTGCTAGGAATCTACAACTCTCCTACCTCATACCAGCTGGTGTCCCATTTATACTTCCTGAATTGCAATTTCTTGACTGACTTTCGATGCCTTTATGTCCCCACCATTATTCCTTGCACTGGCAACTTCTCATCGATTCAGTTTTCATAGAAATAGAAACTTTCATCTATAATTCTATACTTCCTTTATTCTCTAAGTAAGAAATGAAGACCCTTGATCACTCTTGCTCCACTTGCAATCTGTCTCGACTTTCTTCTCCCCAGAATCAATATTCTTAAAAAACATACATTAGTTAATAGCAACAACAATAGAACCATTTAATGGAGAGTTACCATAATCTAGGTCCTACTTTCAAGATAATGATACATATATATGCTTTATCTCATTCAGATCAAAAAGAAACCTATGAAGTTGGCACTATCATCCTTATTTCTTGAATGGAAAAACAGAACCTAATTCCCTCTGAATGCAAAGTCTATGCACCTAAGCCCTACAGTAAACTTCTGAACCACTTCCTTACCTCTTATTTATATTTTAACCTTTCAAATAGTGATCTCCAGACTAACAGCATTAGCATTACCCGGGGACTTGTTAGAAAGACAGTTCTTGGGCCAGACCTACAGAATCAAAAACAGTAGGGGTAGGGTCCTGCTATCTGTTTTCTTGTGTGATTCTGACACATTCTAGTTTGAAAACCACTGATCTAGATATCAAAATGTTAAAT